TCTGTCCTCTCTAATCCCCCATTCCTGGGATGGACAGACCAGTGGCATACCTCACAGTAGTCTGTCCTCTCTAATCCCCCATTCCTGGGATGGACGGGCCAGTGGCACACCTCACAGTAGGCTATCCTCTCTAATCCCCTGCTCCTGAGATGGACAGACCAGTGGCACATCTCACAGTAGGCTGTCTGCTCTAATCCCCTGCTCCTGGGATGGACAGGCCAGTGGCACACCTCTCAGTAGGCTGTCCTCTCTAATCCCCCATTCCTGGGATGGATGGGCCAGTGGCACACCTCACAGTAGGCTGTCCTCTCTACTCCCCCGCTCCTGGGATGGACAGGCCAGTGGCATACCTCACAGTAGGCTGTTCTCTCTAATCCCACCTTTTCTTCTAGGAAGTACACTTTGCTGGCCAATAATGGCTTTGCGATTTCTGCTGCATTGCTGATGGCCTGTTCTCTGCAGGCAGGAGCCTTTGAGATGCTCATCGTGGGACGTTTGCTCATGGGCATAGATGGAGGTGAGACCACCCTGATGGACAAGGGGGCAGTACCACATTTCTTGGCATGTTTTAAAATGTGAGAGGCATTTGGGGCTGTCCCATGACTGAGAGTCCTACTGGGATTGCATTGTTAGGGCCTGAGGCTTTTAGGATCCTGTACAAAGTGGACAGTCCCATGGGAGTCCTCTGCTTATGATTTTCTAGGCCCCTGGCTGAGAAAGGCTGGGCAGGGTAGACCTGGATGGTCTTCTGCTTGTCACGCCTTCTGCTTTAGCACCTTCATCATACAGTGACAATCTGAGGTTATCTGTGGCTTCCAGGGAACGTTTATGAGGATGTGCTTCCCATCAGGGCCTGTGACTGGCTTGTTCCTTCATTCAGTCACAAGCATTCACAGAGACTTGCGATTCCTGTGAAAAGACCCTACCCCTGGGGCTCATAGTCTAGTGGGGCAGGCAGGTGCATAGTTAATGCATAAGTAAGTCACAGCAGGTCCTAGGAAGGAAACGAAGTGGGGAAGGGGATAGACAGCCATCAGGGAAGACTGCTCAGAGGAGGAAATGTGAGGACAGACCAGGAGGAATCCAGGGAGAACTGAGAGGATACCCAGGGAATCGGGGTGCTGCAGGAGGAACGGTGTGCTGGCTCTGAGAGGGAGAGTGTTTGGCACGTCCAAGGAGGAGGAATAGTGAGGTCAGTGTGCCTGGGGCATCAGTGAGGACTGCAGAGGAGTGAGTGAGGGAGGCCAGGAGACCCGGTTGTCTCAGTAAGATCCCTCCTGCTCCCTTGTAGAGAGGAGAGCTCAGTGGAGCCAGCTGTCTAGGAGGGTGGGAGGGTGGGAGCTGGTGAGGCGGCAGCACTGGGGCTGGGGGTAAGAGAGCAGACTCAAAATACACTTCCAAAAAAATAAACTCTGCTTTCTTTCTATTTATTTTTATTTATTTATTTATTTTTTGAAGTTTTTGGCCGGGGCCAGGTTTTCTTGAACCCACCACCTCCAGTATATGGGTCCGGCACCTTACTCTTTTGAGCCACAGGCACTGCCTGAAATCTATGGAAAACTTTTTTTTTTGCAGTTTTTTTGGCTGGGGCTGGATTTGAACCCACCACTTCCAGCATATGGGGCTGGCATCCTACTCCTTGAGCCACAGGCACCACCCTCTGCTTTCTTTCTAAATGGGCAGATGTGTGAAGTGTCACTTGTAGGCGTTGGGTGGAAAGACTACTAGCCTTAAGATTAGGAATTCCTGGGTTTGGATCCTGGCCGTGCCACCTGCCAATTTCTGACTATTGCTAAGTTACTTAATGGATCTGAGCCTCAGTATCTCTGTTTCTCCATTTGCAAAATGGAGATAACAATGCCTACTTCAAAGGGCTGTAATAAGGCTGAAGTGAAGCTATCTATTTGTGTGTGTGTATGTGTAGCCCTAATCTGAAAATTCAAAATCCAAAATGCTCCAAATCTGAAACCTTTTGAGTACCTACAGTGGAAAATTCTATGGTCTGCATTTAATAATTTCACACACTTATTCAAAATACTGTATAAAATTACCTTTATGCTGTGTGCATAAGGTGTATATGAAACACAAATGAATTTCAAGTTTAGACTTGGGTCCCACCCCCCAGATATCGTACTATGTATATACAAATATTCCAAAACCCCCAAAATAAAAAATCCCAAACACTTCTGGGAGAACCAATCTGTATGAGTTTGTTAAAGGCTAATTTCCTTCCCTGTTGTGGTGGTAAAATCCAAGGAAGCTTGGGCACATTGGTGCGACCTGAAGTCCCAGGTGCTCTGGAGGCTGAGATGGGAGGATCACTTGAGCTAGGAGTTCAAGCCTGCAGTGCACCGTGGCCGCCCCTGTGAATAGCCACTGCACTCCAGCCTGGGTGACATAGTGAGATCCCATATCTAAGGAAAAAAATTTTTAAAAAGCTGAGGGTAGGCAGGGTGCAGTGGCTCAGTCTATAATCCTAGTACTCTGGGAGGTCAGTGGATCACCTGAGCTCAGGAGTTGGAGACCAGCCTGAGCAACAGTGAGACCTCATCGCTAAAAATTAACCGAGCATTGTGGTAGGCACCTGTAGTCCCAGCTACTTGGGAGGCTGAAGTAAGAGGATGACTTAAGCCCAAGAGTTTCAGGTTGCTGTGAGCTGAGATGTCACAGCACTCTACCAAGGGTGACAAAGTGAGACTGTCCTTAAAAAAAAAAAAAATAGCTGAGGGTACCAGGCTTTATGAGTGAGCTGAGCAATGGAAACATGTGCCAGGGGGAGTTGAGCAGGGGAGTGAGTGGGGGAAACAACATCAGGGAGAAGAGGCCTCACTGCCCTGCTTGGAGGCAGGTGGGATTCAAGCCTTTGTGATCACATAGGCTGAAGAGAAATGACTCCTGGTCTCAGTATGCAGGCAAGAGAGGTGCAGGGGACATCTGTCCGTGAGAATAGTGGCTAGTGTTCATGGAGTGCTTTATAATTGACCAGTTGAGTTTATGTTTTCCACTTCTTTTCATCTCCTCCTAATACTGGAAGTGTGTTTTTCATTTTCATTTTACATGTGGGGACACAGAGGCTCCAAAAGGGGCAGCAGGAAGTGGCCATGGGTGAGGACTGTGGACTCAGACTGCCTGGGTGCTCTCACTTACCTCGGCTAATTTTACTACCTTATCTGTTTTTGCTGGGTTTTGCTGTATAAAAGACTCCCCAGAACTTAATGGCTTTAAAGCAGTAACCATTTTATGGCATTTTCATTTCTGTGGGTTGGCTGGGTAGTTGTGCTCTAGGCCTGCTCTGCCCATTTCTGCTGGGCCCTCTGGAGAGTCTGCAGCTGGCTGCAGGCTGGTCAGCAGCTGAACAGCTGAGGGTCATCTCACTCTGGTGTCTGGTTGTTGGCAGGAGGGTTGGTCTCAGGGGCTGTCATCTCAGCTCCTCGTGGCCTCTCACCCCGTGCTAGTGGAGCCCACGTTTCTTCACATGGAGTTCTTAGGGCTCCAAAGAGCAGCAAGAGGAGAAAGTCCCAACGTATAGCACTTTGTAAGCATGTTTGCTAACGGCCCCTTGGCCCAAACGAGTGCCATGGCCAGGGACAGAGTCAGTGCCAGGGAGGACTAACTACCTAAGGATGTGGATGCTGAGAGGATGTGGAATCCGGGCCACTGCAGGAGCAGCCTACCCTCTGCCTCCTTCCCACCAGGCCAAGAGACATGACACCTGTGTGACAGGAAGGCCTCCCTAGCTGGGTAATGTAAAAATGATGACCTACCAGGTATGAGAGCACAGTTCCATTCCCAGAAATGCTGGTGGTATCATGGCTGTTATTGTTGTGATTTTTATTCTTAGTAATAAAATTCAGATCTAGGATTTGGGCCCAGACAGTCTGGTTTCAAAGGTCCAAACTACTTTGAAGAAGGGCCTAGTGAAGCTGGAGCACAGATCTTTGGAAGTCCTTTCCTAAGAGAGGCGGCTGACATTGTCTCGCAGGCAGAGTTATGTTCTATCCTTTTAGCCTCTTTCCTGTGCTCCAGCTATCTGACTAGTCTGGGGAGGTGACCCTGGTTACCTATAACTAGCTGCTTCCCTAATTAAAAGTAAGCTGCATTCACAGACGCATCTTTTCCAAAACCATGGGCAGAAAACAAATGTCTTTCAGACACTTTTTTCCTGTGAGATCTTTGAAAGGAAGAATAGGAAGGAAGAAGGGAAGAAGGAGGGAAGGAAAGCACGGTTCTTCCTGACTTCCACCTCTTCACAACCATTATTCTCACAGAACCCTCTCAAAACAGAGGAGGAATTTGAGGGCATTTAGGACGAGACAATTGGTCAGAAAGAGAGGGAAATTGCTAGTCACAACCTGAACTAGCTGCCCTGTTCATCTTCAATGATTCAGAGCCAGATGATAAATGTGGAAGAGGCTCTCAGACTTGCTGATCAAGCCAGGTTCTCAGGGAGCGTTTGGAAAGATGGTAAACACAGGTCACCGTTCTTGTTCTGGGCTGTCTTTTTCTAAAAAGTTTAATGGAGAAAAAGCAAACACATCATTTTTTACATTTAAAATACATGATGGCTCGGCACCTGTGGCTCAAGCGGCTAAGGTGCCAGCCACATACACCTATGGTGGCAAGTTCGAATCCAGCCCGGGCCCACCAAACAACAATGATGGCTGCAACCAAAAAATAGCCAGGCATTGTGGCAGGCGCCTGTGGTCCCAGCTACTTGGGAGGAAAAGGCAGGAGACTCACTTGAGCCCAGGAGTTGGAGGTTGCTGTGAGCTGTGATGCCACAGCACCGTACCCAGGGGGACAGCTTGAGGCTCTGTCAAAAAAACAAAACAAAACAAAACATGATACAGTATGATGTTGGAGGCAAAATTCACACACAGCATATGAGTTTGTGGACGATTGTACGGGACATGTCCTGCCCACACCCCCGGGGGTGCAAGGCCACATCTGCAGACTGTCAGTGAGTGAGCAGGACTGGTTTCTTTTGAAGACTCTCATGGAAAATCTGTTCCAGGCCTCTCTTCCACCTTCCAGTGGCCGCCAGAAACCCATGGCATACCCTAGTTTGCTGCCACGTCACTCCAGGCTCTGTCTCCTCGTCACGTGGCTTTCTCCCCATGTCTGCGCGCCATCTTCACTTGATTACCTCCACAAAGACCCTATTTCCAAATAAGGTCAAATTCACATGTAACAGGAGTCAGGGCTACAGCATGTCTTTTGGGGGGACACAATTCAACCCACTATAGGATGTGACTCTGAATGGAGGCAGGAAGGTTAAGAAGTCTGTGGAGCTGTGAGAATGGAGTGTTCCAGACAGACAGAAGAGCAAGGCTGACATGTCACACTCAGAATGAGCCTAGAGTGCTCAGTGAACCCCAAGGCTGGGGCACCTGGGAGCAGGAGTGGCTGGAATGACGTCAGAAGTCAGGAGAGGCTGCTTAGTGCTGCACAACGGACTCAGAATAACCAACCACCCTGGTTTGTCTGGGACTAGGGGAGTTCCCAGCACAGATGGTGATGGCACCAGGCAAACTGGGGAGAGCTAGCCACCTGGGGCAAGCTGAGCCTCTCATACAGGCTCCATCCTTGCTCACCACTAGTTTACCGATAGTGCCCCCCTTTCCATGTCATCTCACGGGGACAAGCAACAACAGTCAGCATTTATTGACAGCTTAGTGTGTGCTGGGTGCCCTCCTAAGCATCTGACATAGGGCCAGTGAGCACGTGGTACCCGTGTGCAGGCACCGGTCACTGTCCCAGCTGTACAGAAGGCCCAGCTCCCCTGCCCTACGGCATTCTTGTTTCCTTACTGTGTTGTGACACGATGAGCATTCCCCCGTAGTGGGTAGGAGGAGCATCAGGTTAAGGACACTAACAGTTTTTAAGTGCTCTTCAGGTGCACACGTGAGCCAGGCGCCTTACTTACAGGCACTGGTTTCATTTCTGCCCAACAAGAGCAGGCTGCTGTTGTTATATCATTTTGCAGATGAGCAAACTGAGGCTGAGAGTGAGGAACTTGATCCAGCTCGCCCCGTGAGATGAGCATGCTCAGGACTTGTCTGTAAGGCTGTGCATTCTTTCGACCATTGCCCTGCCTGCCTAGCAACAATGCACTAAATTGATCTACAGCCATCCTGATTTTCCCAGAGGCCATGTACTCTGGGTATATGTATTTTGCATAAAAATTCAACTGGCTTATGTGTGGGTTTCCACTTATCATCTCTTTGTTCCTTATGCATGTTTGCTTTGAGTGGTGAACAAAGACAGTATCCTGGGCTAAGATGCAAGGAATGAGATTCTCAGTTTGCAAATTGGGGGACATATTCCCTTCATTATTTTTTTTCTTAGGAAGGGCTTCTCTGAATGCTAGCAACTGGGATGAATTCAGCTTAACTCAAAGTGCACTTATTGGTCCCTAAAGTATGTCAGAAAATAGGCTAGAGCCATTGGGCAATCAAGTAGGGAAGGCATTTTTGATGCCTTCATAATCTGGTGAAAAATTAGACAATAGTAATAATGCTAATAATACTAATTTTATAGCATTTTATAATGAGGAGGCACTGAATATATCTTAACTGTCACAGAGATCTCATGAGGTTAAGCTCAATACTTATTCTCATATTGTGGTTAGAGAAACAGAGGCTGAGAGAGGCTAACAACCCCACCCAAGGTCCTGTGGGGTGTAAGCTGCAGGGACTGGACTGAGGAGGCCATGTGACCCCAGAATATACAGTCTGTGCTCTAAACAAGCAAAAAATCCTCCTAGGATAAGTGCATTACACCATTTATAGGGCTACAAAGAGCCTAAGATTAACCTTGCCCAGACACGGGAAGAAACAAGGATTGTCTTTTTTTAAAAACCGACAAGGCCTCATATTATTTTTTCTAGCAGGCCCATTGTATGTGCAGTTAACATTTTGCAAACCATCTTTATAATTATTCTTTTTTATCCAAAATATCTGTCATAAGCCTCTGAACACATAAATTTTTCACAAAGGTAATGAAGTCATAGGTCGGTGGCCTATTCTATAAAATGAGTACAATGGTATCTGCCATAACTGAGTTTCATAATTTATGTAAAGAGAAATGTTAGCTGGTGGCAAAAGCTCAAGTTCTAGAACCAGAGGCCTATTGGGATTGTATTGGGCAGAATAACTTCTCTGGGTATCTCTGGATATTACCTGGCAATTTCAGCAATTTACTCAACCTCTCTGTGCCCTGCTATCCTCATCTTAAAATGGAGATAATTATAGTACATTTACTTCAAAGGCTTGCTGTAAAAAAAAGTAAATTAATTAATATATCCCAGGGCTATTTGGAAAGTATTCATCCACGTATGTCCCCATCTTTCATATTAAAACCTTTGTATACAGAAATGAGAAGGATCCTTGCTACTTGCTAAGCACTATGTATGTGTATAATCACTACCATCACCACCACCACCACTTCCCACCATCACCACCATCACTATCACCACCAAAATTACCACCACCTCCACCACCATCATCACCATCATGATCACCATCACCACCACCACCACCTTCAGTTCCCAGTCATACTTTAGGTATTAAATGATAAAGTGGGTGTGAAAGCCATTTGTGCAAAGTGCTGGGAATGATGCTATGGCTACAGCACTATGTGATGTCAGGGGAGCGCTGCTCCCAGGGGAAGACAGCTCACTTATTCTGCTGTTCTCCCTCCACAGGCATTGCCCTCAGTGCACTGCCCATGTACCTGAATGAGATCTCTCCCAAGGAGATCCGCGGCTCCCTGGGGCAGGTGACTGCCATCTTCATCTGCATTGGCGTGTTCACTGGGCAGCTGCTGGGTCTGCCGGAGCTGCTGGGGAAGGTGAGTGTGGTTCTCAGGATAAACACATCTGTGCTCATCTCATGCTACCACAGCAGGGGGGGATGTGGAAGCCATTCCTCCAAAATCTTGTCCTTCTATGTGTGTTTTGCAGTTCCTGAGTGTCCAAGCCTTATATTTATTATTAGAGACAAGTTCTTGTTGCATTCCTTTGATTTGAGTTTGATTTTTTTAGGATATAAAGAATATATAATAACTTCAAACCTTATAGAATGCTTAAATCTACCTAATAACTATTGATAACAGCTCAATTTGTATTCATTTAGACTTTGTTCTGTGCTTTACAAAACATATATAAGCATATATTCTTTGTTGTGGTGGTTTTTAAATGGAATTATGTCATACAAATTGTTCTAAAACTTGCTGTTTTCCTTTAATATATTTTGGGCATTTTTAAAAGAAGTTAACTTATATCTACTTCATTCTTGCGTCTTTTTTTTCCTAAATAAATAATTACACAGTCTTCTGTTTTTGGCTTACTGTTTAGGGAGCAGGAGGATGTGAATTTGAATCCCAGTTCAATAATTTACTTGCTGTGTGGCCTTCGCCAGAAGTGCCTCACTTAAGTTGGGTGGGGTAGAATTAAGGAAAACTTCCCAATAGATGTGGCCTCTACATTGGGCCCTGCGGGGTGAGCAGGAGTTACACAGGTGATGCTGAGGATTGAGAGAGAGGACACAGGGGAAAAGGGGATAACTAAAGAAAAGGCTGGAGATAGGACCCAGGCCTGTGAAGGAACTTGGGGTGTTCAGGGGCTGAAGGGAAGGTGTGCATGGTGAGGGTATAAGTTGAGGCATCCTCCTTGAGCAGCTACGGACTTAACCCTGGGGAATCAGGAGGCCTGGATGGCACCAGAGCAGGAGAGAGATGTGGCCAGATCATGGCAGAGGTGGCTCTGTGGTGGTGGGAAGGGAGAGATCAGGTATCAGATATGTGTGGTGAGGGAAGGATGAACAGGGATGGGGCAGTGGCTGTGGGGATGGGATATGAGTGGGCTCAAGACCAGGAAGAAGCAGAGTCCGCAGGGCCTGCTGCCAGGTTATGTGATGAGGGAACAGGAGGGAGAAAAGCTGGCGGCAGCCCAGGATGTGGACGCTTTCCTTTCCCAGTCACAGGAGAAGGGTGGTGGGACAGTGAAGATCACGCTGCTGATAGTGGCGAATGCCCCCTGTGACCCTGCCCTAGACTGGACCCAGCACTTGAACAGGACACGGCAGACAACCATCCCTGTGAAGCTGAGCTCTCAGAGGGAGAGGCAGGCAGTGCAGGCAATCCCAACACACAGCCACAGCACGGAGCAAATCCCAACACACAGCTACAGCATGGAGCAAATGCTCACAGCACATACACGTACTGCTGAGCCCTTCAAGTCCTAATAGCTGTTCTGTGAAGAGACCAACAAAGGTGAAGGCAGAACTAATGTGAGAGCTGGACCGGAACCCAGGCCTGAACTAACGTGAGAGCTGGCCCGGAACCCAGGCCTGTCTGCTTTCAAACGCAGTTGCAGGGTGTCCCAGCCGAGGGTGCACATGCTGAGCTCTCTGGGAGCGCAGGCACTCTGGGAGGAAGGTGGGGATACTGCCCCAGCTGTAGGAGCCTCTCCACGTCTAGAGCCAGCCCCTTGCTCTTTCAGTGGAAGGTTTCATAAGCTAAAGAATCACTGTATTACGATTTAAGATTTTTTTTGAACGTTTGGATAATTTTTTATCATGGTAAAATACACATAACATAAAATTTTACCATTTTGACCACTTACTTATTTATTTTAAGATAGAGTCTCACTATGTCACCCTTGGTAGAGTGCTGTTGCATCACAGCTCACAGCAACCTCAAACTCTTGGGCTTAAGTGATTTTCTTGCTTCAGACTCCCAAGTAGTTAGTACTACAGGCGTCCACCACAATGCTATTTTTTGTTATTGTTGTTGTAGTTGTCATTGTTGTTTATAGCAGGCCCAGCCTGGGTTTGAACCTGCCTGCCTTGGTGTAGCCAAGTTTGAACCTGCCTGCCTTGGTGTATGTGGCCGGCGCTCTAACCACTGAGTACGGGCCCTGAGCCATTTTGACCACTCTTAGGTGTGTTTTCCTGTGGCATTATGAATGACTTTTTATATCTCAGTCAGTCCAGGTCACCTGAGAGGCATCTGCTTTTTATCCACCCTTTAGGATTGTTACAGCTGTGATTTTGTTTTCCTCTTTTTTTTGAGACAGAGCCTCAAGCTGTCACCCTGGGTAGAGTGCCATGGCATTACAGCTCACAGCAACCTCCAACTCCTGGGCGCAAGCGAGTCTCCTGCCTCAGCCTCCCAAGTAGCTGGGACCACAGGCGCCCGCCACAACGCCCCGCTATTTTTTGGTTGCAGCCGTCATTGTTGTTTGGCAGGTCCAGGCTGGGGATTCGAACCCGCCACCTTAGGTGTACGTGGCTGGCGCCTTAGCCGGTTGAGCTATAGGTGCCGAGCCTTTGTTTTCCTCTTTCGCAAAAACAGAAACAACTCAGTCACACTTTACATTCAAGTTGTCGTGCCTGACACTTTAACTCACATATGCAAGAAGTGACGTCCCACATTAAAGAGTCTCTTTTGCTTTTTGTTTTTAAAGACACTTTAAAATTCTCACAATAAACCTGATGTGTGTAACTACAAAAACAATATAACACCTGCAGCCTCAGCTTTTCAAACATAAAGACGTGTTTTGCAGTCCGGGAACAGCGCTGTCGCTCTCTCAGAGTGAAGATGGAGGTGAACACCCGCCTCACAGAGCCTTTCTCTTTGCTGGTTGTTTCCAAATTCCTAATCACTTACCAGACTTCTCCTTTGTAAATCAATATCATGTTTTCTCTGAGACTTGGGTCTTTCTTGGACCTCTGTCTTGTCCATTCATTCAGTTCATCTGTTAAGCATTGAGCTGCACCATGGAGGTATAGCTTTTTTTTTTTTTTTCTTTTGAGACAGAGTCTCATTCTGTCACCCTCAGAAGAGTGCCGTGGTGACATAGGTCACAGCAACCTCAAACTCTTGGGCTCAAGCCATCCTCTTGCCTCAGCCTCCTGAGTAGTTAGAATTACAGGTACCTGCCACAGTGCCTGGCTAGTTTTTCAATTTTTAGCAGAAACAGGGTCTTGCTCTTGCTCAGGCTAGTCTCAAACTCTTGAGCTCCAGTAATCCACCTTCCTTGGCCTACCAGAGTGCCGGGATTACAGTGTGAGGCTCCAGTCCTTGCTGGGGCTACAGCTTTGAGCATGCTGGGTACAGGTTGCTCACAGACTGCAAGGCTGTGTGACCTGGGGCTGGTCATCCCACCTCTCTGAGCCAGTGTCCTGCTCAGTAGCAGGCATGGTTGCAAGCCTCAAGTTCCCAAGCCCCCGTCAGGTGTGACTTCTTCTGGGCAAATGATGCTGGCAAATCATGACTGCTCAGTGTGTCCTCGAGTGCCACATATGTGTGTCCTCTGTGTGATGATTTCTATCTACTTGCTTCTGTGCTTTGTCCCTCCATAGACTGTGTAGCTGGGGCAGTATCTCCTGCAGTGTACACTCTGATGTGAGTGTACCCAGAGGTATCTAGTTCATTCGCTCACTGGATATATATACACACACACACACATATATATATATATATTTTTTTTTTTTTTTTGAGACAGTCTTACTATGTCACCCTTGGTAGAGTGCTATAGCATCACAGCTTATAGCAATCTCAAACTCTTGGGCTTAAGCGATTATCTTGCCTCAGCCTGCCGAGTAGCTGGGACCACAGGTGCCTGCCACAATACCCGTCTATTTTGTTGTTGCAGTTGTCATTGTTGTTTAACGGGCCTGGGCCAAGTTCCAACCCGCCAGCCTGGGTGTATGTGGCCAGCGCCCTGCCCACTGGACAAATATTTAGAAAGCTCCCACTCTGTGCCAGGTATTGGGCCAGGTGCTAGTGCTATACAGCGAGGCCATCAGGCTGGTGCTGCCCTTGTGGAGCTCACAGGTAGACACTGACCTCAGAGAGGGGTCAGGATGCTTTTCCTGCAGAAGTGACATGTAAACTCACGGCTTGGGTATGTACAGCTTTTATCAGGCAGGACTGGTGGGGGCAGAGAGTGGCCATGGGAGACGGTGTTTGCAAAGGGTGTAGTAGGAAGCCCCAGCATTTGCCCAAAGATAGAAAAACCAGGGTGTCAGGTGTAAAGAGAGAAACTGGGAGAGGGAAGTGCCCCTGGCAAGGAGGAGAGAAGGCCACACTTGGGTTGGAAACGAGCTGAGGAAGGGATGGGCAAGATGAGGGGTCTGAGGGCCTGTGGCCTCTGGTGGGGATATCCTCTGTCCTGTGAGAGCAGCCCCTACTGCTCCCATGATAGACACTGACCTGGAAATCCAGGTACATGGCCCTTTGAGTCAGCTCTGCCTTCCACGGACCTGGTTTCCAGCTCGGGGCACTCTGTCCCAGGGCTCACCAGCATGACACGGGCTGGGGGGCACAGCCACCATTCCAATCTTCTCACCTCAAGCTGGCCAAAAGTTGTGCAATGGCCCTGGCCAGGAGGACAGGTGAGGAATGCTGTAATTATGTTCAATTTTGTGCTCTGAGAAGGTGGATATTGGGCTTCTGGTCCAGGAAAGCATATCAAATGGGAAATTTTCATTCATCTGTTTGGGAATTTGCAATGTGCCAGCCAAGTGAGATCCACAGTTTTTTCACTAAGTGTCAGAATTTCATTTCACAATTTTAATCTTATTTCTCACTTACCATCAAAAACTGAGACAATTAAGCTTTGGAAGAGAGAGGAGGGGGTCTTGGCCTCAATGCAGGCAATTGCTTTGAAATGCAGAAGCTGGAGGAAATAGTAAGAAAGTGGCATTTACAATAGGCCTCCAGACTATTTTACAATAAAGAAAGTGAAAAAAAAAAATAGACCTCCAAAAGGTAAGAGAGGGACATAAATGTAGGAACTGATGCTGGTGCCATGAATTTAATTAAAGATACATCATAAAATCCTG